AGGTGGGGGAATGGGGGAGGGAACACGCTGTTAACTAGATGACAATACTGGCCTGTCCACAACTCGTCAGTAAAAACAATATCCAAGATATATGACTGGAAACCCACACTGAATGTTCCAGATACTCCCCTCGTCGACTCTCTAGAGAGGAACAATGCAATGTTAATTGAGCCCTAAGATAGGTTAAAATCTGTGTAGGAAACACGGAGATGTGTCCCTGCAGTTTGGCACCTACAAATGATGTATGAACCCCAATACTGACAGCTGTATACTGCTGACAGAGAAGCATTGTGGCCTGTTCAACCCTAAGTCAAGACAAAATGTTGTTTCGTACATAAGAGTGATTTGGATTGTACGATAGCTTTCGTCAACACTTCTAATCTCCTGATTTAAAGACACCCCACCCCCAACCCACCATTTTCCCCACAGAAAGTTCGAAAAAGAAGAAATACAATAGAAGAAGATGTTGCTACCTATCACTAAACAGTTTTCCGTCCTCGTGAGGTAATCCTTAGCCGCACAAGTCTGCATGTGATCCCACGTTATTGGAGGCGTTAACAGTGGTGTAACTATAACTTCTTTCTAGGTTGAACCGGGTATCCAGGATTGGTCTGCTTGCTTGCCACCCAGATTAAGATTTTTGAAATCTCAGGGTTGTCCAATCATCAAGTAGCAGCCCAGAGAGGGAAGAATGGAAGGCAGGGAGAAGTGTACATCTCATTATAAGGTTCACTTTCTATGTGAGATAACTACGACGGTTGATGAGAGTTAATCACTCAGCTATGCTGACAGAGCTCTCCCAGGCCGAGAGTTTCTGTTAAATATTTATTGTTATGTAGCGGGCTGTACTAGAGCGTCCTTGGTTACCAGGGGCGGTTACTGTGAGTACAGAAATCAACGAACAGTGATGAAATGATCAATAAACAGGTCTGTGAGTGTCCAGTTGGAGAAGTTAAGCTACAAGTGACGTAAACTATGGAGAGACGAGTTAGAGAAGTTTAGCAACAACTCACGTAAACTGTGGAGAGACGGAATAAAAGAGCGTTGCGTGGGAACTGAGAGCACTCAGGTGGCTGTCATAAAGGCACCATGAAAGCCCACGATATAAGGTACTTGATACATTCGCACAGATAACATACAGACCCCTTACAGGCAATAGGATTACACAATTCACAAACTACCAGACGATTTGGTGCGCTGTTCTACGATCACGTCTAGAGGCAAGCTACAAGTGTCGAGTCTGTTCTAACTGGAAAAATAAATTATCTCAACATTGTGATGTTAACTAAAACAAGCCAGCCAGGTAGAGTTTGTGTGTGATGATTACCTTGTGTATAGAAGTGACAGAGTTAGAGGAATGGGGTAGGGGGAGAGGCAGACACACAGAGAGAGACAGAGAGCGAGAGAGACGAACAGACAGACATAGATAAGGATTGAGTTTAAGTATGTGTGTGTGAATGTTAATGACAAATATACGCAAAGAGGGGTAATGGGAGAAAACGAACGAGAGAAGGAGAGAGAGTGAGAGAGGGAGAATGAAGCGACCAGTCACATGTTACATCATCGAGGTATGTTTAGATTACAAACCACTGACTTGAAAGCTGACAGTTTTTCAAATTAAATATTCAGATCCAGGCGTTAAACATCAATAAAACTATAACTAGACGATGTAATCCTCTTATCTTGGAGAATTAACGTGTTAATATCATTATTCTCCAAACACCCAACCGTTAATTGAGACTGGGGCGTTTATTTATGTTCGATACATTAAATTGTGCAGCAATACACTGTGTTGTGTTATAAAACTGTTGGTAACTAATTTTGTTTTCATTTCATCACCACCAGCATTATCATTGTAGTCATGATCATTATCATCGTTATTATCGTCATCTTCTTCTTTTTCTTCTTCTTCTTCTTCTTCTTCTTCTACTTCTTCTTCTTGTTATTCTTCTTCTTCTTCTTGTTCTTCTTCTTCTTCTTCTTCTTCTTCTTCTTCTTCTTCTTCTTCTTCTTCTTCTTCTTCTTCTTCTTCTTCTTCTTCTTCTTCTTCTTCTTCTTCTTCTTCTTCTTCTTCTTCTTCTTCTTCTTCTTCTTCTTCTTCTTCTTCTTCTTCTTCTTTCTTCTTCTTCTTCTTCTTCTTCTTCTTCTTCTTCTTCTTCTTCTTCTTCTTCTTCTTCTTCTTCTTCTTCTTCTTCTTCTTCTTCTTCTTCTTCTTCTTCTTCTTCTTCTTCTTCTTCTTCTTCTTCTTCTTCTTCTTCTTCTTCTTCTTCTTCTTCTTCTTCTTCTTCTTCTTCTTCTTCTTCTTCTTCTTCTTCTTCTTCTTCTTCTTCTTCTTCTTCTTCTTCTTCTTCTTCTTCTTCTTCTTCTTGTTCTTCTCTTCTTCTTCTTCTTCTTCTTCTTCTTCTTCTTCTTCTTCTTCTTCTTCTTCTTCTTCTTCTTCTTCTTCTTCTTCTTCTTCTTCTTCTTCTTCTTCTTCTTCTTCTTCTTCTTCTTCTTCTTTCTTCTTCTTCTTCTTCATCTTCTTCTTCTTCTTCTTCTTCTTCTTCTTCTTTTCTTCTTCTTCTTTTCTTTTCTTCTTCTTCTTCTTCTTCTTCTTCTTCTTCTTCTTCTTCTTCTTCTTCTTCTTCTTCTTCTTCTTCTTCTTCTTCTTCTTCTTCTTCTTCTTCTGCTTCTTCTTCTTGTTATTCTCTTCTTCTATACTTTGTTATTGGTGGGACATAGATCTTCAACTAGCTGGCGCCACCTCATGCTATCCTTTGTCCATTGATGGAACATAGATCTTCAACTAGCTGGCGCCACCTCATGCTATCCTTTGTCCACTGATGGAACATAGATCTTCAACTAGCTGGCGCCACCTCATGGTATCCTTTGTCTATTGGTGGAACATAGATCTTCAACTAGCTGGCACCACTTCATTCTACCCTTTGTCCATTGGTGGGACATAGATCTTCAACTAGCTGGCACTACTTCATTCTACCCTTTGTCCATTAGTGGGACATAGATCTTCAACTAGCTGGCACTACTTCATTCTACCCTTTGTCCATTGGTAGGACATAGATCTTTAACTAGCTGGCGCCCCCTCATCCTATCCTTTGCTAAAGCGAGCAGCTCAGTCCATGACTTCCCAGTCTTTGTCACCCCATTTTCAAATCCTCTTGTTCGTATGTAAAGAAAACGGAAAACAAAAGTATCGTTCACTGTTTCCTGTGTTGCCTGTTATCTGGTGGTTCTATGTGGCTCATTTCATAAATCGTTTTCCTTTTGCTCTGAACGTTATGGGTTTGTTTAACGGATTTTTCCGTTCGCTTCACGAGTGCATGATCCTATGGATCATTTCTAGGGATATGGAGTTCGTGATTTGTGGTGGTTCTAGATAGAAGGCTAGCCGTTCTGCTTCTAAAAACCGAGCCACATGGAATGGATCTCCGTGCAGTGGCATCAATCCACTCAACTTTAACCTCTAATCTTTCTTATTTTGATTGTAGAAATGCTAGCCATTGACGGAGGAGAAGAGGAGATATCGACAATGGTAGACATGGCGTGGGAGTCGGAGCAGGAGCGGGAGAGTCCACCACTCCCTGAGGCTGACTACACTCCCAGGTTGGTGGTGAGTATCTTTCTTCTACAAGAGCAGTGGCGTAACGTGACTATTTTTTTTTTAACTTTGATCATGTTATTATTATTAACCCGATGAAGGATATTTAGCCGCAACGTTTATTTTGTTGCAGAACCAACTCCAGCTTTTTTTGTTTGTGATTTTGTTGGGCACTTTGTGTGTGTGTGTGTGTGTGTGTATGTGTGTGTGTGTATATATATGTGTGTATGTATGCGTGTTTATGTATGCGTGTGTGTATGTATGTGTGTGTGTATGTTTGTACGTATATGTTTGTGTATGTATATACATGTGTGTGTGCGTGAGTGAGTGTGTGTGGCCAGACAAGAGCAGTATGCAGGAAGCCAACTCACAACTGGTGTGTCAGCCCCTACACGCTGCGCGATTGTCTAAGGAGAGGATCGGAGCACTTATGGGCTGAATAGTTCTGTGTGCAGTGAGGGTAATCTGTCGACTTACTAAGAAACTGTTAGGCAATCTTACGTTCAGTAGTTTGCCATTGCTTACTGAACGATCGGTTCTCGTTACCATTGTCGAAATTGACTCAAAGCTGCCAAATTATCCACCGCTGGCGAACGAAAGAAGAAGGAGAAGAATCCACCGCTGGAATCGAACCGGGTTTATAGGAATTAAAAAAAAAAAAAAACACCGGTCATAACACCCGGGCCGCCACAGACAGAAAGACAAACACAGATGTGGAAAATTCTCACAGGAACCATTCAGATGAAGCAGATGGGCTGATCTACACCAGACGGGACGCAAGAGTTATTAGGCATTCATAGCTCTCTCTACAGGCAGAACAATCCAATTAGCCAGCAACGGCTTCTCATGAGGATGGAAGTCATGGTGCTGTCACGAGCTTACATGTGTCTGGAATCACATGGCTATTCCCACGTGTGTGTCTGGAGTCATTCTATGGGCATGATCAGGCGGGTCGAGACAAGGTGCGTACGCAGACAGTGGAATGATTGCGAAAACCCCCCCCCCCCCCCCCCCTGTACTAATTTACCTTAATCGCTGTCCCATGGAATACATATGTTGTTGGCAATAAGAGAGCTGATAGACTGACCGATTCTGCCTTAGTTGAAGATGGCCGGCCTATTATTAATGTCCCTTAGAGACATCGGAAGATCGAAGGATCTTGGCACAATGTGTCCACATCACTGCTAAGAAAGTAAACTTTGGGAGTAGAGATGAGCACAGCCAAGCATGAGAGGTACGCCAACGTACAAGGAGTTTTGTTAACCAGCATAGGACTGGCACTGTTACGCTGATGTTTATCTTTAAAGGGGAATCTGAGCACCTATGGTCGTGTCCGGAGTGCCGTGAAGATAACCCAACTCATAACCCCTGCCCACTATGATGTCTGAGCATCTCTTGTCCCCAGCTGATTTCATCGAATGTATCTTGGTGCTACAGTCTGGCCGGGTCCTTGAGGGCGGAGGAGAACATTCTGCATGTCATTTATGTAAGTGTAGGCACCTAATGCGCGTCATCTCACTGGCATTTACTCATATAGAACATTATACATGTCATTTATGTAAGTGTGACATTTAATGCACGTTCTCTCTCTAGCATTCACTGATATAGAACAGTATACATGTCATTTATGTAAGTGTGACATTTAATGCACGTTCTCTCTCTAGCATTCATTGAAATAGAACATTATACATGTCATTTATGTAAGTGTGACATTTATTGCACGTTCTCTCTCTAGCATTCACTGATATAGAACAGTATACATGTCATTTATGTAAGTGTGACATTTATTGCACGTTCTCTCTCTAGCATTCACTGATAAAGAACAGTATACGTGCCATTTATGTAAGTGTGACATTTATTGCACGTTCTCTCTCTAGCATTCACTGATATAGAACAGTATACGTGTCATTTATTTAAGTGTGACATTTATTGCACATTCTCTCTCTAGCATTCACTGATATAGAACAGTATACGTGTCATTTATTTAAGTGTGACATTTAATGCACGTTCTCTCTCTAGCATTCACTGATATAGAACAGTATACATGTCATTTATGTAAGTGTGACATTTAATGCACGTTCTCTCTCTAGCATTCACTGATATAGAACAGTATACATGTCATTTATGTAAGTGTGACATTTAATGCACGTTCTCTCTCTAGCATTCACTGATATAGAACAGTATACATGTCATTTATGTAAGTGTGACATTTAATGCACGTTCTCTCTCTAGCATTCATTGAAATAGAACAGTATACATGTCATTTATGTAAGTGTGAACATTTAATGCACGCCCTCTCTCTAGCATTCACTGATATAGAACAGTATACATGTCATTTATGTAAGTGTGACATTTATTGCACGCCCCTTCACTGGCATTCACTAATATAGAACATTATACATGTCATTTATGTAAGTGTGAACATTTAATGCACGTCCCCTCGCCATTTTGTCCTCTATCACATACAACACATTTAAATCTTCCAAAGGGATCCTATCTTCTTTTACCCCATCAGGACATCACACAAGCGATAAACACCCGATGACACAGAGTGCCACCATGTGGATGAGGATCATCCGCGGAGAGGTCCCAGAAACCGCGTTCAGCCATTAGACTATATTTTTGGCGGGGCTATATTGCGGCCCCTGGCAAGAGCCAGAGTAGGGCTTCAAATAACGAAAAATGACATACACTGCAAGGGCTACCTGAGTGAGTGAGTGACTTTCTACCCCACTAGGACATCACACAAGCGATAAACACCCGATGACACAACGTGCCACCATGTGGATGAGGATCACCGTGGAGAGGTCCAAGAAACCGCGTTCAGACATTTGGCCATTTTAATGGCCTGCCTATATTGCGGCCCCTGGCAAAGCCAGAGTGGGGCTTCAAATAACATAAAACTACGTCCCGAAAAGGACGTAAGGACTTCAAGCCATTAGAATAAAAAGGGCTACCTTACTTTGTGCTCTTTAAATACATTGTCAATACGCCTATACCTCGCGTGAGCATTTGCGCTATAGACATCGACAGAACAGGCGAAGGCATGACCTTCGAGAGATGCTTGTCAAATAAATATCACGTAAACCAGTGTTTCCCAAACGTTTGTTAGTCGTGGCATCTTTTTTTTTCAATTAAAATGTTTCCACCTAAGTAAAAGTATGACTATTCGTATGTGAGAGATAACATTTAAATTTAAAAAAATACCGCTGCCCCTGTGAAGAGGTCGCGGCACCCCCGGGCGCACAGTTTAAGAATCACTGACGTAGACAATGCCTTAGTTACAACTAGGCAAGTGGGTGCAGCAAGACCATGAAGTTAACAGCTAATTCCAAAGCACTCGCATGGGCAGTAGAGCCAGCAGCCACACACGCACACACACACTCACACGCGCACACACATACGCGCGTGCAAACTCACTCACACACACTCACACAGGCATGCACCCACACCATACGCACATACTCACACGCGCGCGCACACACAACGCACACTCGCTCTCACACACGCACACACATATACACACACGCACACGCAGACACACACAGGCGCGCGCGCGCATTCACACACATACACGCACACAGTGAGCATATTATATTCTATGTACATGCTTCAGAAAATTGCAACAGGCAGCCTGCGCTCAGAATGGGTAATCAGCAATCGGAAGTCGCACTTAGCCTCCCTCACCTGGATCTTCACACCTGGACATACCGGATTTAAAAATGATGAACGAGTGGATCTACATGAAAGAGGATCATTAGATCAGCTTGGGAATATCAATACTTGGTTCATTTATTTATTCATGTATTCGTTCACTGATTCGTTCATTCCATGTTGACAATGGATAGTGTTGCTGCATACAGATAACGTTTGTGTGTTTGTGTGTGTGTTTAATACAGGATTTTGACAAGTGGTCCTTTGACGAGATACTTGGTAAGTTCTCTTCTTCTAGCTATTCTTTTCATTTTAAATCTGCTTTTGTTTTTGTTGAGCTTAGTTGTAGATTACATACTTGTTTGATGTACATAACTCTTCAGAGTTAAGATGAGTTGACCGGCGTTAAGATCTCACATTAGAGCACTCAGGGCATTGCCATTAGCGCTCCGTCCTCATCTTCAGCAGTCAACGAAGAGTTCCAATGCCGATTGTACCAGCAGCATTTAGATGATATGTCAGTCTTATATTTCAACTGATTGTCGAGTGACTGCTAGACACTTCGACCACTCTTCGCTGCCACAGTCTCTCAACACGGTAATGATCCGTTCGTGCCTCCGCACTATCCAATCGCTCCCAAATAGCCCCCCGCCAAGTGGCGCAGCATCAGCCACCTACCTCAGAAAGAATAACCAAAGGGAAAACGAATACAGACTGAGCAGACTACAGTAGAAGACTGATATACTGAAGACCAAAATGGACGCAGACGATAAGGGAATGACTGGCAATATTTGGGATGTCTCGAAGGTTGGTCATCTATCCAGTGGTAATTCTATTATCCGAAAGTTTACGGTGATTTGTCAATCAACAGATCAAGAAACAACATGGAAAATTGGGTCTTACTTAAATCTGGTGTATTGCTTCTTTTATTTTATATCATTTATGTAATAATCCCATTGAGCCAGTCAATTAAAGAGCCCGTTTATTTAATTAATCCTATTTGAACAATAAATAGAGTTAGGTGAGACCCCTTTTTTATCCTACTGACAGTCTGCACACGCATTCATTCTTCATCACATTAAACATGCTGACCAAAATCACAGACAGTCTAATGAGCATTACAGCCGGATATCATTGATTGATTAAAGACTTTCTGTAGACATTCTATTGGATTTGAGTCTAATGTTATCAAGTGACCACATACGATTTTGTACACATTGTAGCCGACTTTTATCACGTGACCACAGGCATTATTGTACACACTGTAGCCGACTGTTATCACGTGACCACAGACATTATTGTACACATTGTAGCCGAATGTTATCACGTGATCACAGACATTATTGTACACATTGTAGCCGAATGTTATCACGTGATCACAGACATTATTGTACACATTGTAGCCGAATGTTATCACGTGATCACAGACATTATTGTACACATTGTAGCCGAATGTTATCATGTGATCACAGACATTATTGTACACATTGTAGCTGAATGTCATCACGTGACCACATACATTATTGTACACATTGTAGCTGAATGTCACCGTCTGCTGAGCGGCCATGGCGCGGGAAGTACAGCGAGGTCTGTCCTGCTGATCTGCAAGGTGGGAGTTCCTTGTCTGTTTAGTCCCTACCGTGTTTATGTTTGGCATTCATTTATACTTATATGTTTACTTCTTGGTGAATTTAACATACCTACACTGAAAGGGAGAGGGGGGGTCCCTCGTGCAAAAGTGGGCAAACCGTTTGCATCGTGCCCTGAAGGTCAAGGGTCAGTTTTTCGGCTGCTTCGTTCGGTTTACTAATGCAGTTTTTTACTGAGGCCCCTGGGGATCTCACTTGAGCTACGATGTCTGTGCTTTGTGCGGATCTCTTAGCAAGCGGTAACTTTTCTACGAAGAGAGACCGAGTCTGCGGGATAACACCTGATGCAATGAAGTCGATCCTCTCGAATGTGACCTTGAACTTTAACATACATAATGTATAGTACGTCATTTCGTCATTTATGAGCTAGAGATTAAAGGGGGGCGGGGAGGAAGGGGGGGGGGAACCGGAATGTAATACAGGGGCAGGGCTGTCGACATTTTAGGCACAATTTTCAAAGCATGAGAGCATTACCTCAAATCATTAAGCAAGAAGATTGGGTTGGAATGCAAAAGAAAGATTCACCGAATATCACGGACAAAGAAGAAAAGAGATGTTGACATTCCAAAAGATCTGAAAATCCAGTAAGGTTGTCTAGTAAACAGAATTTTGTTTCAGAAGCTGAAATATTTTGGTCATTTTAAGCGCCACGGTAAGCTGGAAACCAAGCAAAAAAATAACAGAAGGCACAGTACCAAGAAAGAGGTGCAGGTGCCGACCTGCACGAAGATGGGCACATGATACAAGAGACCGCTGGGGAATGTGCACGAGGCGGGAAAGCTGGCGAGACACCGAGTTTCATTCAAGCAGACCTTGATTAAAAGAAATACTAAACTAAATTTTTTTTTAATTTTAATGTCAAATCTGTTCTTTTGTTCAGGGCGAAAACATGAAAAACAACTAAGGCAATTACTAATAATTTTCAGCCATTCATAAACAACTGCCTGCGCAGAATAGAGGGAATTAAATGGTGTGATAGAATCACTAATGTAGAGCTTTGGGAGAGAACTAAGAAAGCTCGAGTGGACCAAGAGGTGAAAAAAGACGCTGGCGTTGGATAGGACACACAATGAGAAACGGGAGAACAATATAACTAGAATGTCTTTGCATTGGAACCCACAGGAGCATATGAATAATGGAAGGCAAAAAAAAAAAAAAATGGAGAATGAAGTTAGAAAGATGGGGAGGACATGGGGAACGATAGCGAAGGATAGAACGACTTAGCGTAAGTTGGTTGAGGGTCTATGCTCCATAGCGGACTAGAAAGGCAGAAGAAAACCTTTGCAATGTACCTGCTACATAATGATTTTACATGCTGTTTACGTCTATACATTAAAAAATGTTGGTGTTTGTCTCTGCCTCCTCTGCCATAGTGTTTCTCGCGCGAGGCACGACCGTCTTTCTTATGATGTGTTAAAATGAGGGGCAGTAACTCGTTCACTTTTCGAAACTTGTAGGGAGGACCGGGTTATCTGTACTTGCTGAAGAATTTTGTCATGACCCCGCAGAAACTGACAAACTCTAAATACCCGGCCATGGTTGGGTAAGTTTTATGTCTCTGTACTTCTGTGTTCGTCTATCCATGTGGCCGCTTATCTTGTCTCTGTGTTTAAGTTTTCTTTAACACCGCCACTTCTAATAAAATTTTTCTCAGTCCGTTGTTCCTGTTGTTTTAAATCAAATCTGTAAAAATATATCTCAGCCTACCATTACTTTCCGTCCTTTTTAGGATGTCATTTTTCGTTATTAGAAGCCCTACAGGGGCCGCAATATATCCCGGCCAAAAATATGGCCTAATGGTGGAACGCGGTTTCTGGGACCTCTCCACGGTGATCCTCATCCACATGGTGGCACATTGTGTCATCTGGTGTTTATCGCTTTTGTGATGTCCTGGTGGGGGTAGAAAGTCAGTGAGCCTACCACTAGATTAATATTTTATATAATAATCATAATAACAACAACAAAATAATACATTTCAAGCATTTAATTTTAGATTGTACCTATCAGATCACACATTCGAGTCTGTATGTTTTTATTTCATCTTTCCTCTCCTATTTCACTTAAACTAGGGCCCACGGAGAGGAAAGATGACAATAAAAAACATACACACACCCAATGTCACATTACAAGCATGTCGTACAATGCCACTAATAAGGAGTTTAGTTGAAATCGGTTAAGTTGGGCCGAATGGCGCAAGAAATTGCAAGCTAGCTGTAAACCACACCTCGAGGTGCCAACTTCCCTTTCAAGAGTGAGTGCAAAGGCATTTTCTTCTTTAATACTAACCCTTGACAGTCTTTATTGAAATAATGCAGGCATTAACAAGTTATTGCTTAGCATATTTCGCTGTATCTTGTCGGGTGCATTACTACAGAGTTAAATCAACATATAGGGAAGCACAAAATCAATCATTGTCTTGCTGAAATGGATAAACAACACAAATCTATCAGTCGGAAATTCAAAATCTATCACATGATTACCATGGTAACTTTAAAATAATCACGCGATCTTTCTGTTTGCATAACATAGGAGAGTAGAGTTTTATCAATACAGCGTCTATCACTGTTTATCAGCTTCGTGTCCAGGGTCAAGCTCTCTTTATTTAACCAGTTTTCGGCTGTCCTTATGCATTTATCCTTTACGATTAGAACAGTCCTGAGAGGGAAGAATGGTGAAGCACATCGATGATCTCTTCCAGGTCAATATAAGAGGCAATACAACCAAGGTCTGAAGGGAACAGTCAGTAGAAGCATGTTGGCTGCTGCAACGAAGGACTTAGCACGCATGGGAATGTCCACTGTCCAGCAGTTCCGAGGCGCGATCAACTCGCATTTGTAAGCAGTTTAGGCAGAATTAAGCGTTGAGAGGTAACGATTACACTAAAGAGGGTATCACGTGATATTTTCCTTCACGTGACTTGGCTGTTGAGAATATGCGTGCTCAGCCAGCATTGTAGTTTTAGTAATTAGTAGGTTTAACATGTTACAGTTTCTGCATGAGTGGCGTAAGCATGCAGCCAACGCTCTTGTCGTTATTTTAATACTACTGACAAGCTGTATATGCTCAGGGAGGCTTTAACTGAGAGGCCTTTTTGTAATTAATAGTCAACCGTAAATAATCGATCGTAACATAATGCATTTTTGTTTTGCAGTTGAAAGTTTAAACGCTGACTGCAGTCGTTGTAAGCACGCCTGGCCACTGGTGACCAGTTATGCCAGTTATGCTAACCTATCAAAACCTAATGCTATTTTATTGTAATGTTGACACTATCGTTTCTTCTGTATTATTGTCTTGCATTTTCATTTGTACACCAACTTTCTCATCTGTGCAGCAAACAGTGGCAGCACATAGCTACATTTACTTTGGCAGCTGCTTTTGACAGTGTTAAGTCATTGCTTTAATAATGCGTAGTACGAAGCAAATAAAAAAAGAAAATGTATACATTCATTTAATTAAATCCTTAATAAACAATAACACACTCAAAAATTAATGAAAGCTTAAACTCTAACAGTTCATACTTAATCAGTTCATTTAAAAACTGTCTAATGGTACATCATCCTGCTTGGTTTGTGATGGCGTCACTACAACATTGTTTATTGAATGACTCCACAGGTTCTGGAAAGAGTTGAATCAAATGATCTGTGACGCCAGTTCGCGTGAAAAATCTATTTACATTTTTGGTGAGACGATAGATCAGTCGGCTCAAGGTCAGACGGTGAGTTGTTTGTGTTCGCAGCCCGGTTATTGTTGAAGAGCTGGACATCCTCCAGTCAAGTAACGCCATTGTTTCCGTGTGCAGTAAGAGATCACTTATAGTCAGTATGTCGCCTCCCTTGCTAAACTTAAGTCCCCCCCCCCCCTTAGCCCCCCCCCTCTTCCCCAGTTGTCACTCAGACCTTTCACTTTCAGGTTGAACAAACATGCCACATCACTCATCTTTCGTTTTAATTGGCTCTTCATAATGTAGTCTCTCTTCTCTCTCTCTCTCTCTCTCTCTCTCTCTCTCTCTCTCTCTCTGTATTGTGTGTGTGTGTGTGTGTGTGTGTGCGTGTGTGTAAACCAGCAGGTGCTGCAAAGCACATCGATATCTCCCCAGCACACCCGAAATTCTCTCTTTCTCTAGCCAATTCTCCAGCCCTATGTACTTTCATAGCCACTGCTTCTTCATAGTCTTATACCCATCTTCGCATAGGTCGGCCTTTACCTCTTTTACTGGAAACTGTACCCTCCATCGCAGTTTTTTCTAGACTACTGTGCCGCTTGTCATGGTCAAAATACCCCAGCATTCGGGATAGGACACCTCTCATGGGTCAGTTCTTCTTGATGTTCAAATACTTCCTGGGCCTTCTTTCTCGTCAACTGTCAACTATTTCTGATACAGACGGTCCCCCGTAACTTGACAGCTGCCAGCTGTATACTGAAAACATCCCTCAGTGAAGTATGGGCCCAGTGACTTCCGCTAGTAACCATCAGTGGTCTCCTGCTCACAGGGACAGACATGACTGGTCAGTGTAATTGTCTTCCACAGTTGAAGACTGTCCTGGAAGAGCTCCTCCTGCCGGACCAAGTCATCGTGGAGGCTGTCAACGAATCCTCTGTCACTGGTAAGATATCAGAACAGTTAAAGCACTGAACCACGATTCTTCTCTCAGTGGTAATATAACAGAACCGTTATAGAGCTATCCCACGATTCCTCACTCAGTGGTAAGATGACAGAACCGTTATAGCACTGATCGACGATTCCTCACTCAGTGGTAAGATGACAGAACCGTTATAGCACTGATCGACGATTCCTCACTCAGTGGTAAGATTACGGAACAGTTATAGCACTAATCCACGATTCCTCACTCAGTGGTAAGATGACGGAACAGTTATAGCACTGATCGACGATTCCTCACTCAGTGGTGAGATGACGGAACAGTTATAGCACTGATCGACGATTTCTCACTTAGTGGTGAGATGACGGAACAGTTATAGCACTGATCGACGATTTCTCACTTAGTGGTGAGATGACGGAACAGTTATAGCACTGATCGACGATTTCTCGCTTAGTGGTAAGATGACGGAACAGTTATAGCACGGATCGACGATTTCTCACTCAGTGGTGAGATGACGGAACAGTTATAGCACTGATCGACGATTCCTCACTCAGTGGTAAGATGACGGAACAGTTATAGCACTGATCGACGATTCCTCACTCAGTGGTGAGATGACGGAACAGTTATAGCACTGATCGACGATTCCTCACTCAGTGGTAAGATGACGGAACAGTTATAGCACTGATCGACGATTCCTCACTCAGTGGTGAGATGACGGAACAGTTATAGCACTGATCGACGATTTCTCACTTAGTGGTAAGATGACGGAACAGTTATAGCACGGATCGACGATTTCTCACTCAGTGGTGAGATGACGGAACAGTTATATCACTGATCGACGATTCCTCACTCAGTGGTAAGATGACAGAACAGTTATAGCACTGATCGACGATTCCTCACTCAGTGGTAGGATGACGAAACAGTTATAGCACTGATCGACGATTTCTCACTTAGTGGTAAGATGACGGAACAGTTATAACACTGATCGACGATTTCTCACTCAGTGGTGAGATGACGGAACAGTTAAAGCACTGATCGACTATTTCTCACTTAGTGGTGAGATGACGGAACAGTTATAACACTGATCGACGATTTCTCACTTAGTGGTGAGATGACGGAACAGTTATAGCACTGATCGACGATTTCTCACTTAGTGGTAAGATGACGGAACAGTTATAACACTGATCGACGATTTCTCACTCAGTGGTGAGATGACGGAACAGTTATAGCACTGATCGACGATTCCTCACTCAGTATTAAGATGACGGAACAGTTATAGCACTGATCGACGATTCCTCACTCAGTGGTAGGATGACGAAACAGTTATAGCACTGATCGACGATTTCTCACTTAGTGGTAGGATGACGGAACAGTTATAGCACTGATCGACGATTTCTCACTAAGTAGTAAAGTTTGTTCGTTCGTTCGTTCGTTCGTTCTCTTGCACCGTGGCCAGAGATGGGATTTGATACTGGTAACTAAACAATAATATGAATGTACCGTTGACCGATATATTCAGTTTGGTTTCCACATGTTGTTTACCTGGTGAAAGTTAAGAACATACTTTGTGAAATGTCGTAATATAACTGCAGATTCCTAGTGATGCTCTTGTCTATACCTACTGAAATTTGAGGTCTGAACAACGGATCAACATCATGACAAACGGGTAGTAAACCATAAGTGCTCCATTTTTCTTTTAACTCAAGTCTGAGTCCGAAGAAGCTCAGCACAGTGCACAAGCTCTGTAGCACCGGCGAGGATCCTGAAATACTTATTATTTGTGTCTATTATGTGTACCTATAATGTGTACCTTTAATGTGTACCTATAACTATACTTATGTGTGTGTGTGTGTGTGTGTGTGTGTGTGTGTGTGTGTGTGTGTTCACCAGCTGTTATCTCCTTGGGGAAGTCCCGGTTGTCTCTCCATTTCAGGACTCTGGCTTTGTTC